TCGATCAACACATAACCCTAGGTCAACACCGATCAACGCGTTATGATGAAAAGTTAACGCCTGGCGATTCAAAACCCTAAGGTCAACGTCGGTCAACGCGTAACCCTAGGTTAACATCGGTCAACGCATTACGATGAAAGTCAACGTGGGCGATCCAAAACCCTAAGGTCAACGCATAACCCTAGGTCAACACGTTGCGATGAAAAGTCAACACCTAGCGAAGCATAACCCTAGGTCAATGCCGGTTAACACGTTCCGATGAAAATCAACGCCTGGCAATCCGTAACCCTAAGGTCAACGCCAGTCAATGTCGGTCAACATGTTGCGATGAAAGTTAATGCCTAGCGATCCGAAACCCTAAGGTTAACGCCGGTCAACGTGTAACACTAGGTCAACGCTGGTCAACGCGTTACGATGAAAGTCAATGTCGGGCGATCCAAAACAACACCGTTCAACACGTAGCCCTAAGTCAATATATTATGATAGAGATAGTCAGTTCTAAGTCAACTCGATAACATGAGCCAAAATCAACTCATCAATTTTTGATTCGAGACTTTGACGACGGCCAGACGATAAACGTAGCGCCGGAAGAATTCTAGCTATTCGTTAAAATATTGAATAGACTAGAAATCAGAGTCAAGAATCAAAGCTAACTATAGGTCTTTTTACACTGACTGAAGGTTGGACTGATCACATCCAAAGTATTTCAGCCTCCTCTATAAAAGAAACGAGACTGAAACACTTTGGAGGGGGATCCAAAGTATTTCAGCCTCCTCTATAAAAGAAACGAGACTGAAACACTTTGGAGGGGGTATCTGTAGGTGTCTAAAAATGCCTATAGGTTCCCGCACGTGGCTCAAGACAGAGAGAAGATGATGAATGTTACTATCCGATCACAGAAGCTTATTTAATGTCGACAAGCATATGAAGTAAGTTGACAAACCGTGTGAAGCAACGAAACTTCAGAATAACGAAAACATGAACTAATCAGGAGCTACGCGTCGCTTACGAAAGACGAAGCACCCATCATGCCCCGTCTACTCCATATATGATTCAATTATTAGAACTTGTAGATCTCCTCGTTATATTTCCTACGCATTTTGAATCGCGTGATTCCGAGTTCGGATGACAAAAATACGGCAAAAACGAACGGGACACACAAAACAAGGCCCAGAGCCAAAACCAAGACACCCTAGGTGTCTCGGCTTGGCCGAGACACCCCTTGGTGTCTCAGCTTGGCTGAGACACCCAAAGGTGTCTCGGCCACTGCCCCTGCCGAGACACCACGGGCGTCCATAGCCCCGAAAACCTGTTTTTGGCTGTTTTTGGCTGTTTTGAGCTGTTTTTCAACCGTTAACCGTCTAGATTTATTTCAACTAATAAAATATCATCTAAGAACGTGGTTAAGTGGTTACAACTGAAGATAAGAGTGAATCAATTGTTCTTATCTGAAAATCGAGGTCCCAAAAGCCTATAAATACAGCCCCAGGGCCTTCATTTTTTAGATCTGGAATTCTCGAGCGTCGGCGAAGCCCTGCTAAATTGAAGACTGAAGGAGCACGAATTTTAGAAGAGAAGAGGAGATCGGCTCGAGTTCGTCTTAGTATAAAGAAGAGGAGCTCGTCGGATCTATAGTTTTCGGTTCCTTCCCTTGAGATTGCCCCATTGCGGTGATCTTAAGAAGAGTGATTATCTCGCTATTACCGAGATAATTGCTTCGATTTCTAGATTCCTTCGCGAATCAACAAAGCTCCAGATCTGATCTGATTGTTTGGTACTCCACGGATATCAACATCCCCATCACAGGCCTAGACCACAAGCAAGCAGCGAAGGATAAACATCCGTTGCATTTGTTGAAATGAAAGTTATAATTTTTGTTAAAAGTCTTATAAAAAGACTATTTCTTTGAGTTTGTTGTAAATGTTTGAAGTTGTAAAAAATGAACTCATCAATGAAATCGACTTTCTCCCCAAACAATTGAAGAGCCTGCTGCGGCTCAGGAGGAGTCTGATACTGCTCGGGTGGAGCCTGCTGCTGCTCAGGCTCTGGCTCATCCTACCTAACTCTCTGTGTACTAGATCCTCTCCGTCCACGTCCCTGTCCAGCCATCTATACATTTTAGGAAGAGAGTTTGTAAGACACAATAATGAGACCTCATGCAAAAAGGCATAAATATAACTCATAACAATAAGAAATACGTATCACATATCTTCCACGCAAATACTTTATAATCAAAGTAAAATAGTTATCATAAAAAAATTCTAAAATTTTCGAGATACACGTAATACGTCCTTACTCATTCTAGGAATTTCTAGCGGACTCTATACATGAATCATAAGAAACTCTATTCTAGCTCCACGACTAGACATAGGATGATCCTAAGGATGCTGGAACTATAACTCTAATACCAACTGTGATGCCACTGTTTTCACACATGACTGTAGTCTAAGGTGAACCCAGAAATGTCAAACATGCCATGCACCCACATTGTGCAACAAAATATTTCACCATCATAGTAATATCTCTCTAGTAGAATCAACAACAAGTGTAGGTATAAAACAGGCAAAATAAAGGAAGTAAATACATTAGACATGATGTAGAAAGAGATATCTAATAAATATAATCATGTCTCAACTAAATAAACTGAATACAACTGACGTCTGAAATAAATGTGAAGTATCTCAATATGATTCAACTGAAAACAAACTAAGGCACACAGCCTTTACAAGATAAAATACAAAACTCTAAATGTCCAAAAGAAAATATCAACTATGGTGGAGTCTTATCTACTAAAAATATGTGGCGGTGACTATGCTGGAAGTCTATCATCCTGCGGCTCTCCGGAACTTTAACCTGCTACCTGAAAGGAATTAGAAAAAACAAGAGCATCAGAGCGCTACATCAAAATCATCTTCATCCGCCCAAAGGGAAGGGCTACTAGATGTGATGGAGTCTTTATCTATTAAATATAGTCTACGTAGATAATTTACCATGTATCTAAATAGAATTAATATTTAGAAACCTACAACACGAGACGTAGTACGTCAAGCGAAATAATCCAAACAAGGAGACCATCATGTATATACCATATGTCTCAAATTGTAGATAACTAAACATCAATACTGAACTAAGAACAAACAATCTAAATAGAATTAATAATTAGAAACTCACAACACGAAATTGGTATGTCGAGCGAAATAATCCAAACAAGAAAACTCTTATGTATATATCATAGGTCTCAAATTGTGAATCGCTAATTATCAATTCCAAACTAGGAATAAAGGAAAGCAATACAAGGAAGTAAAGTCATCACAATATCGGAACAAAAATATCTTCCACTATTCCTTGAAAGATAATATAAACAATAGTATATAAATCCCACGTACCCACAAGAGTAAAGTACCTCGGTCATATATAACTCAGCGATGAGTCATGTTCATAATGGCGTCCACCAAGACTTAGGCTATCAGGTAATTATCACAATGCAAATCCTTGTAAAGTTTATAATTTATCGTATTATCATGCGGGACGGACTACCAAATCGGCATCCTAATAGTGTACACAGCTCATTAGTCTCATTGCATCAACGTGCGGGACGGACTATCAAATCAAGACATCCTAGGTATACGGCTCACAAGCCTTATCGCATCTACGTGCGGGACGGACTACTAGATCAAGTATCCTAAAACATGACTCAATGGCCTGTACTAATGGTATGTTGACGCACTATCCTAAGTAGTAGTGGTGGTGCTCATCAATGATATCTATACATGTATATAATGTTTAAGTAACCCATATCCCAAGTGTGGTTGAAAATAATACATGTAATAATCCTCTCCTGGATATTTGTGAGTGTGCTACAATACTATTCATGTATGCTCATGATTGTATGTATGCCATCGTGCGGTTCGAACCCCGTACTCATAGTTAAATGATGCAAAAATAACCACTTAAAAACAAAGAGAACACAGGTCGGTCGACCGCCCTTAGGGCGTCGGTCGATCAAAAGCAACCGTGCACACAATGTGCACGCTCAGGTCCTTACCATTCGACCGGCTAGTCTTGATCGGTCGACCGGCTAGAGAGGAAAACACAAGTTTAGGTTTGTGATGTTTTGTATTTTATAACTTTATTTAAAAACTTATTTTTATCAACATGAGGCATATGACAAGTTCATAATTACTTAATAGGAATTAACTGATCATGATATAAACACTTGAATTAAATTAATTAGGGTTTAACATCCTAATTAATAAAAAAATTTCAAATAACCTAATTTATAAATATGCTTAAGTAAACATGATAAATTCTAAACATTGAATAGAGATAAATTCGTTTAAACATGCTCACATCACTTACTTAAGTAAACATGATAAATTCTAAACATTGAATAGAGATAAATTCGTTTAAACATGCTCACATCACTTAGGTATCATCAACCTAGGGTTTATTGAATAGAGATAAATTCGTTTAAACATGCTCACATCACTTAGGTATCATCAACCTAGGGTTTAGACCTATTTAATTAGCAAGAAAACTCAAATAATTATTAAGCTAGGGTTTAAACATGATTTAAGAATAATTAAAAAGTTAAAAACGAAATTAAATACAACGCTAATGATCATAATCATCAAATTAATATAAACAGCAACTAAAACTACAGATTTTCATATTGGTTTAAAGATTAACATCATAAACTAAGATTTTAAAACATCGGGTTAAGCTTAAACATGAGATTCATCAATTAAACATATTAAATATTGAATTAACTACATGAAAAGGTTTGGAGGAAGATGATCTTGCCTCAAACATCGCATTGAACTCCTGAACATATACGTGCAAGATCCCTTTTCACCAAAGTCGCAAAATCTCGTCTCCTCTCGACAAACGCCTCAAGAACTCTCCTAAATCTCACAAATTATGACTAAGGTTTGAGAGAGAGGAAGAGGGGCTGCTAGGGTTTGGAATACTGATAAAAAGATATGAGAGGCTGCCATGCGTTAATAAGTTAAATTGTTTCGACTTTATTTACAGATACCCTACTGACACTGACAAGCAAATGTTGGCTAAACAAACTGGCCTAACAAGAAACCAGGTAACACACAATCTCCTTAATTTGAGTTTTAAACCTTTTTTTAATAATGTTTTTAAGGTTTTTTTTTTAAAATATTTGCTTATGCACTTGAATCATTAGTGATAAATTAATGCTATCAAAACCAGAGATAATAAATATTGACAATGTGAGCAGGTGTCAAATTGGTTTATTAATGCCAGAGTACGACTCTGGAAGCCAATGGTTGAAGAAATACACTCTCTTGAGATGCGACAACAAAATAAAGCTGGAGCTAGCGATGCAAACCATAACACCGACAAGCAACCTCAACTCCCATCATCTTCAACCGCAACCTCATCCAACGATACTTCCTTCTTTCACAATCAAAATCAATCCTCTAAACGACCTCACGATGAGCTTTCTCAAGTGTCTCACCACATTCAAGAGCCTAATTACAACTTTGTTTTTGATGGTTTCCATGGCCATCATAATATTGAAGTCGGAGGAGGTGTTGGAGTCAAAGAAAACGGTGATGTCTCCCTCACTCTTGGACTCCACCAAAATAACGGCATTTGCTTGGCGGACCCAATTCCATTGAACGTTGTTCATGGTTTTGGGCTTGGACTTGAGGAGTGCAATGACCCTTATGTGATTGGTTCTTTCGGAGGGCAGGATCGTCAATTTGGGAAGGACATTGGCGGGCGTTTGCTTCATGATTTTGTTGGATGAAGAATTACAATAGCTTAGCAAATTGTGGATGTGTTCACAGTATCATGATGGTGCATCATCGGGAGATAGCACTATTGAAGGCATAAGAGCACCGTTTGCCTCCCTTTGAACTGGGAGTCACAGGTACGCACGCTGCTAGCAGATCTATATATGGAATTAGTTCATTGTAATGAATGGCACCAGTTGCATTTTCTGTATATTTTGATGTTGAGAATGATACAATATATATATATATATATATATATATATGCATACATACATACATATATATAACTACAAACCCGAATCAAAACAGCCCAAACCCGAAACAGGAAACCTAGTCAGATTGGAAAAATAGTCTTCGGTATTTTGACTATAACTTTCACGTCCGACCTTGAAATGAGGTGATTTAAGATGTGTTGGAAATCTATTGAAGATACGTACAATTTTTGTCTTTACTCGTAACAATTGAAAACTATTTGGCTATTCCGAACAATGGATTTGTATGTACTCAACCTCCATACGTGTACTCCTTAAAATACATGTATAGAACATCGCTTACTACTCAACGCGTCTGCTACAATGTTCGTTTCCCCGGATGATACTGATGTGTGAACTCGTAATCCTTAATGAACTCGACCCATCGCTGCTATATCTGATTGAATTCCTTTTGGGAGAAGAGATACTTCACACTTGGCGGTCCATGAATAGCTCAAACTGTACCCCATAGAGGTAATGCCTCCACGTCTTCAGTGCTAAAACCACTATCATGTGTGGGATATTTATGCTCATGAGTCCTCAACTACCTCAAAATGTAAGCTACTACTCTCTAGGTCTGCATCAAAATACCTCCTAGACCCAATAACGACGCATCCGTATAGACAACAAAAGTCTTATCACTATTCGGAATGACCAACATCGGCGTTGTAGACAACTTAGTCTTCAATGTCTCAAATGTCTTCTGGCACTCTGGTCCCCAAACAAACTGTACACCCTTCTTCATAAGGCGTGGTAGTGGGGTATCACTCTTAGAGAAGTCCTGGATGATTTTCTTAGTAATAGCCGGCCAGACCCAAGAAGCTACGAGTCTCTATAATGGTCTTCGGCGGCTCCTAATCAAGTATTGCCTCTACCTTAGCTAGATCTACAACAATGTCCTCCTTGCTGATAACATGGCCTAAAATCTGGCCTCAGATAATCAAAACTCGCACTTACTGAACTTAGCACATACTTGGTGCTCCCACAAAGTCTGCAATGCCAATCGTAGGTGCTGCTCATGCTCGACCTCCGACCGCGAGTAAATGAAGATGTCGTCGATAAACACGATCACAAACTGGTCCAAGTATGGACGGGAAAACTTAATTGATCAAATCCATGAATACCACAAGTTCCTTGGTCAGCCCAAATAGCATGATAAAAAAACTCAAAAGATCCATATCGAGTCAGAAAGACGGTCTTGGGAATATCCATCTCTCGAACCCGCAACTGATGATAACCAGAACGAAGATCAATCTTCAAGAAACACTGATAAATTCTTGATAGTAGATACCTGTTTCGGATGGTGACCTTATTCAACTCATAATAATCTATACATAAACACATACTACAGTCCTTCTTCTCTATAGAGAGGACCAGTGCTCCCCACGGAAAATGACTCCGACGAATAAATCCCTAAGATAAAAACTCATCTAATTGAATCTGTAGCTCCCTCATCTCAACAGGTGTCATATGATAAGGTGTCTGGGATATCAGCGTTGTGCCTAGCTGCATCTCAATGCAAAACTTAACCTTTCTCACTGGAGGTAATCTAGGTACGTCCTGAAAGACATCCTGATACTCTGAGATGACTCCGGTCTCGCTCAAATCTATACCCCAATCCGGAAACACCACCTCCTCGACGTGTGCCAGAAATGACTCCGCATTCTGGTTACCTATGAGGTTGCTACTATCTATTCAAACCTATCAAATGCTCACAAGCTGACTGTCTTCGCAAAACAGTCGATACTAACGTGGTAGGAAGATAATTAATCCATACCAAGAATCACATCGAGCTCGGATATACACAAAATGAACAAATCGACTATGAACTTAGACTCATCTAAGCTGATAATGCATCTCCGACAAATACTCTCTAAGAGGGATGTCGCTTCCAAAGGAGTAGAAACTGACAAAGGAATGTCTAGGGAATGTGTAATTAACTGAGACTATCCATGATAGCAAAAATAGATAAAAAAGAATACGAAGCTCTTATACCAAAAAGATACAAGTTGGGAAGGAGTTCACTAAGAACGTACCTTCCACTAAGGTTCTATTCACATCATGATCACTTGGTACATTGTAAAAACTTGACCGAACGCTATGGTCCGCTGTGCTGAAGGCTCTGCAGTAAATAAAACTATCTAACTCTGAGTTAACTTCTGAATAGCATGCATATGATCCTCAATCCTTAAAGTCAATGGTGGTGACTCAAATTTTCACTATTGGCCAAACCCGCGGCCCTGCGACTACTGACTTTGGCCTTTGCCCTGCTGGCCTCCTATTGGTGCCTTGTAACAATCTCTCGTCTTATGTCCAATCTTGTTACAGTTATAACAATGCACCGAGAGCAACTCGATATTGGCTAAAGTCTACTGCTAAAATGCTAGCACTAGTTGTTCTTGGGCCTTGGGTTTCTCTATTTAAACCAGTAACATTTCTTCACACTAGTCTATGTAGGACTAAAGTGGGGGTGTCACACAGCTGATACGACTGGTGGTAGAAGTTCAGATGATGATATTGTTGGCGGAATCTTGTTGGTTATTTTCTCCTTAGGCCTACTATTCTAGCAGCAATTAGCGCTATGATATCAATCAAGTACTATTAAGCCTGCTGCGGTTCAGGCTCTGAATCAGCTTGCCCTGCTCGTCCTGACATCTATAATTTCAGGATTAGATCTTATAAGACATAGTAAATGAGATCTCAAATATATATAACATAACATATAACAGTAGGAAAATTGTTTCATATATCATTCACGTAATTACTTTTCAATCAAAGTAAGGTAGTCATAAAAAATTCATAATTTTTTAGATATATGTTTATAACGTCCTCACTCATTCTAGGAATTCCTAGTGGACTCTATACATAATTCCTAAGAAACTCTATCATAGCTCCATGACTCAACACATGATGATCCTAAAGATGCTGGAACTACAGCTCTGATACCAACTGTGTCACCCCAAGTTTCACACAAGGCTGTAGTCCAAGGTGAACCTAAGGATGTCAAATCGGCCATGCACCCACAATGCTCAAAAACACATTTTACCATCATAGTAATATCTCTAGTGGAAGAAACAACAAGTGTTGATACAAAACATGAAAGATAAAGGTAATAATGAAATGAACATGATTAAATGAAAAGATATTCAATAATATAATCATGTCCCAAATGAAACAAAATGAAATACAACTAAAACTGGAATAAATATAAAATGTCTCGATACACAGAGTCAACTGAAAAGTACATAAGCTCTCTCAGCCCTCAAAATAAAATGCAAGTTTAATAATCAACTAGAAACAAAACTAAACATCTGTGGAGCAGAAACTACTAAAAATAATTGATGGCGACTATGCTGAAAGTCCGTCAACCTGCGGCTCTACGAAACTCTACACCGCTACCTAAAAAGAAGAGAAATCATGTCAGAATGCTAACAAGATCATCTCCATCTGCCCCCAGGGGAAGGGCTACTAAGTATGATAGAGGCTCTACCTATAAGTGCATAGTCTACCTAGATCATTTTACCCTAAACTATATAGAATTTTTGTTTAGAAATTTACAACACAAGACTAGTACGTCAAGTGAAATAATCCAAATAAGGAAACTCTCATATACCATGTGTCTCAAGTCGTAAATTTCTAGATATAAATTCCAACTAAGAATAAAACAATAAAGGAAAACAATCTAGAAAGAAATACATCAATCATATCCAAACAAAATACCATCCAACTCCTCATACCATCCTTAGTGGAACAAAACAGATACCAGTACACTATCCTGTGTACCAAAGTTGTGAAATACCTTCACAATAGATCATATCGAATGAGTGTCAATAATCGCCTACGCTTAGGTTATCATCAAATTTCTCAAATCGTCCTTCTCTAGAATTCTTCAACTCATCGCACCCCATATGGACTAATAAATAGTATATCAACTCATCACACCCCGTGCGGACTGATAAATAGGTATATCAACCCCTGCACAAAACCGCATCTAACACACTCAGAGTGTAGTCCATCCGCAGTCTCATTGCAGGTCCCAACTAACCCCACTCAACATCCTTAATAAAAGCTAACTATAAAAGTCGTTATTCGTAACGATTACAAACTATTTGGCTATTCCGAACAATAGATTTGTACGTACTCAATCTCCGTATGTGTGAAAGGCCCTAGAGGGGCGTGAATAGGATTTATGGATAATGAATGTGCAATTAAAAGATTTTCCAACAAACCACAAAAAAATATGAAGTGCAATAACAATAAAAGAGAGTAGGAATTAGAAATAGTTAGCCAATTAATGACACGCGGTTTGTTCATGAAGTTCAGTCCTCTGACCTACGTCCCCGCTCCTCACTCTCGAGAAGAAATCCACTAACACACCCGGTTTGGAAGCTGGAACTTCTGTACACAACAATCTCCACTGAGATCTCACAACTACACTGTAGATCTCCACGAGATCAAGCTCACAACAGTTACAAATGAAAGAAAAGCTCTCTCTTACAGCAGCCCTATGGCAAGAGGAAGATATTGTAAGTGAAGCTTGGGATGTGAGATTTGGAAGTGTAAAAACAAGTGAAAGTTGAAGCTCTTTTGAACAATAAACACAAACTCAAGAGATTTTTCAGTGCTTTCTTGGTTATTGAAGTTAATGGGGATGGTAGGTATTTATAAGAAGTGAAGATGATAGCCAAGTCCCAAAGAAACAGACAAAATCCTCTAAAAACCAAGATTTCTGAAACTATACAAAACTAGCCGTTGGAAGGCTTATCAGTCGACTGACGGGTTTCATCAATCGACTGATGAGCTAACCGTTTCAGACAATTTTCAGCTCATCAGTCGACTGATGAGGTTATATGTCGACTAGTCAGTCGACCAAATAAGAAACAAAAACTTTTTAAGATTCTGACGGGTTTCAACAGTCGACTGATCTCAAGCATCAGTCGACTGATAACGACCTTTTAGCCAGTATAGGATTTTGAAAATGAGTTTCAAATGTTATTTAAAAATAGTAAATAAA